GTCGCGGCGGCAGGACGACGTGCGGGAGACGGCGATGGGGATCGCCCGGACCTTCTTCGGCTACCGCCGCGAGCACGGCGCCAGGACCACGCAGCAGGCCGAGGTCGCCGCGGCCTGCTTTCTCCTGGCGACGGAGCTCAACGACGAGCCGGTGCCGCTGCCCGAGCTCCGCGTCTTGGACCCGTCTTTGAAGAACGTCGAGCAGTCCCGCGGCGAGGTCGTGGCGGATACCAAAATGGCGGAAACGGAGAAGCGCCTGCGGGCGCGCTTCGCGGGGAACCTCCTGCGGCATTACATCCGCCTGCTCCACCTCCAGACGAGCCGCTACGAGCCGGTCTGCCAGGCCCTGCTGCGGGTCCTGACGGAGGCCCAAAGGCCGTTGGGCGAGCTCGGCCAGCTCACGGAGGTGGATCGCGTCTTCGCGGCCGTCCTGCTCGCCCGCACGGAGGACGGCCTGAAGTGGGAGGGAAAGCCGCTCTACGACCCGGCCCGCGAGCTCGCGCCGGCGACCGCCTATTCCAGCTTCGCGGCGAGCGCCCACCTCGACGAGCAGCGCGTGCACCGCGTAATGCAGGTCGTCCGGCGGGAGTTGGAGGCGATACGCGCTCGCTTTGCGGCGATCCAGGCCTCCGGCAAGCCGTTCAAGGCGGAAAAGTCGGAATCCATGGAGGATACGACCGCCGCGGATGGGCATTCCACCCAAGAGTTGTTTGGGCTTAAACGTCCGCGTCCTTCATAAGGATGCTGCGAGATGAAAATCTCTATTTTCAATAATAAATATATGGTGATAATAAATGCGGACGCGTGGTGAGAAAGGGAGACGAAACAATGTTAATTAAAAGGGGTTATTCTTCTCAAATGAATAATCACGCTCTTGCTTTTCTTTCTTGTTGGTGGGGTGCATGTATGGACTGCGGATATGGAGTATGGGGTAGTGAATAGTAAATACATACTATACAACAAGTAATGAGTTACTTCAGAACGGATAATTGGTGGAAACGGCGTGACCACCGACGGATTCGTGGCGCTCGCGGCCAACGCTTTCTCTCTCTTCGCATGCACATTCTGTTTATTGTTTCTGTACTTTCCTTTCTGGAGTTCTACATGATTCGTAGCACGGATATCGAGCCCTATCATATTGCCCCTCCGCCGGTGCGACCGCCTCCACCGCTGGCGCGGTCATTAGGCTACTCGCTGACAAGTGAGATGCCATACCTGCAGACGTTGGAACTGGAAGATCGGATTCCAGACCACGTCCCTCAGAAATATTCGTTTAATTATGCAGGGGTCCGAAGTGGCGGCAAAATGTCATAGTGAAAGTTCTTTTCACAAAACCAAAGTAGCTTGAAAAAATCCAAAACGAAGAGATTCACGAATCGACGCCACGTTGCCACGTAAAATACGCATTAGACAGCACCAAGTTTATTCACACCATCCTCCGAACTCAATGAGGCGGTCCTGGCGATGGAAGACATTTTCGCGATTGACCTTGTTTTTGTGCTTCTAAGATGAATTTAAGGGATTCTCGACCTTGACGTCATCTCGTCAATGGCATAAGCAGTGAGTGTTCACTCTTGGGTTTGAGGCAGACATGAGTCGCGTGGAAAAGGTGGCTGAATGGAATGGTCTTTGGCATACTCCTCGACAAAGCCAGATCCAATATAGGAAGCCCGAGTGCATCCAAGGACTTGATGTGGCTAGAAGTGCTACATGACATTTAGGAGGAACAATTTGCTACAAAAAGTACTAATGCATTGGAAAAAAAAAGATAAATTTTCTATAGGTATAGCTGTATGGGATGTATGTAATCTATACTTCTGACTGTCTGTGCTGGCTTCATAGTATCCTCTTCGATCTCTTCTTCACCTTTATTTTCACCCGTCTCGATCCCACAGCAAACCCATCCAGACCTACACATCGGTTTAGCCCGGCCTCGGTTTTGAGAGCTGACGATGGACATGGAGTTTTACGGCGGCGGGGCATTCGCCGACTGCTTCTACGCGCAGTACCCCAACGGGATGGGGCTCCAACCCACTCCTCCTGTGTTGGCTCAGAGACTCGTGGAGGGGGGTGGGAGTGCCCGTGTCACAGCAGAAAAAGGAGGGAGTTCTCGTGTCACAGCAGAAAGGGCTGGGAGTTCTCGTGTAACAGCAGGAAACGAATGGGGTCTCCAAGGGACAACAGGGAGAGGGGGAAGGGCGACCCCCCCCTCCGGCCAGAC